CCCACCCAGACCCGCGTTCTGATGTCACCGCGCCCCTTCTCTCTCCTGCCGCTCACGCCGCGCCCCACAGCGCCCGCTGCCGGGAGGGGGCGCAGCCCCTCCCGCATCCCCCTGCTGCCGCACGCCGGCCGCCCTGTCGCAGGTCAGTGGGCGCGACGCGCGTGGCCTTGGCCTCCCCTGCCGGGGCCCGCCGCTCGGGACGGCACCGGGAGAGCCCACCCTGTCGTGCACCCAGGAGACGGAAAGACCCCCTCCCCTCCCCCCACTGCCCCGCACGGCGCTCAGGCACCACCCGCACGACTCCAGGAACCGCGGGACGCCCACGCACGTTGGCCTCCTCGCGGCGCTGCTGAGGCCACAGGCAGGGTCCCCGGCGCCCCCTGCGGCGGGGGCGGGGCGGGGGCGTGCTCACGGGCGGCCGTGTCCGTTTCCTAGGGAATCACTCCGGCGTGGTCCTGAGCATCAACTCCCGAGAGATGCACAGCTACCTGGTGAGCTGATGTCCCCCGAGGCCTGCGCCCCGGACACTCTCCTCTGCGCCGTCTCATCCCCGGAGGGCACCGGTGCTGGGACCCGCGTCCCCTCAGAGGCCTGCGGAAGCGCCACCTCGTCCAGCGACAGATGCCCCCTCTCCTCAGCTCACGCCCGCCCAGCCCGCGAGACGCACGGGGGCCTGACCCCCGACCCCCCTGGACACCAGGCGCACGGCGCCACCCGCCGCCCCCGGCCCGACCGGGCACTTCTCTGTCCCCGGGCCGCGCGTGGCTGCCCCCGCTGCGCCACAGCCCGTGGCCCCAGCCCAGGCCCGGCCGCCCTGGGGACGGGGAGGTGCGCCTGCCGGGGCCGCCGGTCACCCTGCACCGTGGGCCCCTGTCCCCGCACGGGGGGCCCCGGAGCCCCTCTTTCTTCTTCAATACCCACGGGAGGGCGGCTCCTACCTGCATGGCCTCCCTCGGCGGGGGCCGCCCTGCAGAGTCCAGAAAGTGGACTGTGACCCAGACCCCACCCCTGCCCCGGGCCCTCCCAACACAGCCCTCCGTGCCTCCCGCCGTCCGCCTCTTTTTAAACTGCAGATAATGTAAATACCTCTTTAGGTAGCTGTTTGCGTTCTGGGGGTGGGGGGCTGTTCAACTTTCTACTCTGTGGTCAGGTAGTAGCCGTCTGGGTTGCTTTGTCAGAGCCCCCTTCTCGGGACCCTTCTTTTAGTGTCGGGGTTCCGGAGGGACAGGTGCTCTGACGGCTTTGCCCCCGGAGCCCGGGCCTGCACGTCTGCAGCCGGCCAGCAGGTGGCACCCTCCCCGGGCTCCCCGCCCACCCGCTGGGGTCTCCTCCTCCCCCTGGGGCACCGCCTGGAGAAGCACCAAGGGCCCGGCGCCTCCTTACAGTTGGGGGAACCCGGGTAGGAGCCGGGGACCAGAAGAGGCTTCGGATGGAACCGGAAGGGCCGTCCAGGAGCGTGCCCCTCATTTTGAAGTTGGAGAAATTGAGGCCCAGAGAGGGGTGACTTTCCCACGGTCACACAGCAAGACAGTAGCAGAGGTGCCCCAGGGACTAGCCCTCTGCACCCCGGTGCACAGTGAGTCCACTCACTCACAGACGCCTAGAATCAGGGACGCTAGCCTAAGTCTACACTTGTGAATATACAGGGGGGAGGTGTTCACCTTTTGCCTTGAACCCCGAAGTCAGTAGTCTCCTCCCTCCCCCCTTTCGCCCCCCTCCTCCTCTCCCCTCCCTCCCTCCTCCCCTCCTCTTCGTCCCCCCCCTCCCCCCACTTTCCCCTCCCAGGCAGGGCTCAGGGTCTCCCCCTAGGCGATGGGGAACACCAGAGCTCAGGCTGGGAGCTCACTGGCTGCTGGTGAGTCCAGAATGAAGCCTGGGGGGCATTAACTCACTTCCCTTACAAAGGCCTGCAGGAGGGGAGACCCAGGGACAAACCCTCGCGCCCGCAACAGCCCCCAGCGCACAGGAGTCCCTCAGTGTTTGCGTGTCACAAATAGGGACTCTGAGGCCGCGAGGAGGAAGGGGTCACTGTGTGTCACATGCCAGGTGGTGGAGTCCCTCTCCCCGGGCCGCCACTCACCAGCTGGGGCTCCTGGGCCCCCTCCAGAGGTCACCCTGCAAGTTGTTCTTAAGACCCTCCTTGGGGAAGGGCTGGGGCCCAGAGACCGGGGGACGCATCGCTGGGGAGGTCGGCGCGGGATCCCCGGCTGGCACTCTCTGGACCTTTGCCACCCCCCAGCCTGTTTGCAGTCTTCAAAGACACCTTAGGGAGCCCTGTGTCCTGCCGTCCACCCCCACCCAGCCTGCCCCATGAGCATCACACAGGGTCAGATACCTGTCGGCACCATCCAGAGCCAAGGTCACGGTCAGCATGAGTCCCCTGGACACAGTGCCCCTCCCCCACCCCCAGCTCACCAGTGCCTGCAGGTGACCACCCCTTTGACCTTCCTTGACCACTCAACTTCATTCTCTCTGCTGTTTGGGTAGGGGTTTTTTTCCCCCCTTAGTTATTGGTGTTTCTCTCGTATTTTACGTTATTGTTTCTATTAAGAGTATTTTGAGTGTGTGGACCCGAGAGCCTGGGAATAAGGTGGCATCTGAGATAACCTTGTACTTCTCCATCCCCGTGACCATATAGATCAACATGTAGGGCTATGGATCGTCTGGTTATACATCTGAGGTTCTACGAATCTGCTGTACAGGCACCTGGGGGTAAGGTGTGGTCTGTGGTGGGCAGCTAACGCTCCATTCGACCGGGCTATGCCCACACTTGGTATATGCACATAACAAAGATGCGAAAAATCCTTTCTTATTTTTCCTTTTTAAAAATCAATAAATCATTTGTGATGCTTTTAACAGAGATTAAATGAATATAACCAGCTTTTGCCTTATTATGAAGCGATTATTCAACACTGACATGAACACACAGGCAGGCCGCTCGGACTGTGGTCTCCAGGCCCCTGGGAGTGGGACCAGGAGCAGTTCCTAACGCTGGGAGCAGGTGGCAATGACGTTAACCTTCAGGGTCACTGGATCAGGAACATGTCACCTGCAAAGCAACGATCCTCCCCAGCAGCTTGTAAGGTCCTTGCACGCAGCTTTCAAGGCTAGCAGAAGGGCCCGGAAGCATCAGCCCATTTGCCAGATGAGGAGCGGAGGCCCCGGGAGGTTGAGGGCCAGGAGGCTGACAGTGCAAGACAGCACAGTCCTGGGCCCGCTGTGTCTCTCTCTCTTTTTTTTTGTTTTAATTTTTTTTACATTCATTTTTGAGAGCTAGAGTGTGAGTGGGGGAGGGGCAGGAGAGGGGGAGACACGGAGTCCCAAACAGGCTCCAGGTTCCGAGCGGGCAGCACAGAGCCCGACACGGGGCTCGAACCCATGGACCGCGAGATCGTGACCTGAGCCGAAGTGGCCGCTCAAACGACCGAGGCCCCCAGACGCCCCAACCATCTCTTGATCTCGGAAGTGCCACCTGGCTTGTCTCTGAGGGGCCCGGAGGCCGGCCCCTGGCCAGTGCTCCGGCCGCGTGTCCACAGCTGCTCGGGACCTTCAGCCGTGAGGTCTTGTCGGGAAAACTCTTGCTTCCTTCTCTCTTCCACGCCGAGCTTCCATACAGGCCCCTGCACATTTGCCACGTGCTCGCACCCCGTTTCCAGAAGGAGGCGAGCCTGAAGCCGTGTCCGGCCGACAGAGCATGGGGACAGGTGGGAGCCGACAGCCCGACTCCCTGGCTTTGCCCCGGAGCAGGTGCCTCAAACACCGGGAGCTCGCACCCCCGGGCGTCATGGGCGCTGGAAGACAGGGCACCCTCTCCGCGGCCGTGGCCCTGGGATCGGGCTGCGGGCGCCGGGACGGGGTGGCCAGGGCAGGAGCTCACCTGCTCAGCCGCCCACCAGGAGCTCGGTTCCCACGACACTGCCTGCTTATGTGGTGGGGGAGGGGCCCCGGCAGCCGCACAGCCGCCCCTGCAGGTCCAGACGGGCCTTAGACGCGCAAACGCCCCGCGAGCCTCAGTTTGCCGCAACGATCGCCAAGCGCCGTTGGTTCCCGCTAGCTGGCAGCGGGTGGCTCAAACGCCGGGCACGGTCCCCGCCTCTCCTGGGCCGCGACCCGTTGGCTCCCCAGGCGCCTCGCTGTTGGAACAAGCTGCTGCCCGCGAGGCTCGGTGGCTTTTGGAGCCCAGGGAGCTCAGACTCGCCAGTTCCAGGCGCTGAGTGCGCCGGCCCGGGCGCTGTCCTGACGCGTGCCCGTGACCCGCTGGCATCCCCGAAGCGTCGTAATTGGTCACACACGGTTCCCGGGTTCGGCAGACGGCCCTTCCTCGCTCGTTCTAGGACGCGCCCTGGCCCGCTGCTGGGAAAACCCGATCATTCACGCCGTGTGCGGCCGACACGACTGTGGCCCAAACGCTCAGCTGTGGTCACGATCCAACAGCGTCCTGGCTGAGGAGGCGGTGCCTGCCAGCATGGTGGTGACGAGGACAAGGCGACCGCAATAATGACGACAGCTCCCATTTAGTCTCTGCCACGTGCCAAGTCCGCTGAGGCACTTTTCGTGCAGTTTCGCAAAGCCAGCCGCCAGCAGCAGCCCCATCCCACAGTCGAGGGCAGCAAGGCGCCCAGAAACCACGTCAGGTCCCCAGTGAGCGTCCCTAGGAGCCGCCAGCCCCCCTGTGACCACAGCGCTCCTACAGAGGAGGTTGGTGGGTGAGGGCAGAGCACGGCCGGGGGAGGCCGCCAGGCAGGGGGCTTCCGGGCCACGTGAGGATGAACGTGTCCAGGAAGTCACCAAAGGCGAGGCACTAAAGCCAGTGTACATAGTAATGTTTCTAGAATTTTCTTGGGACTCAGTGGAGAGGGGGGACAGCAGCTGCGTGCAAAGTGACGATGGGGGACGGCTTCCTGAAGAGGTGCGGATGGGAATGAGCAAATGGAGGAGGGGAGAGGGACGGTGTGTCAGGAGAGAAGGGACTGCCTCTCTGCGGTCATACCTCAGGACCGGTGCCCAAGTGCGAGCAGAGGGCCTGCACCGGGCGGGAACAGGGAGGCACAGAAGCACCTGGGTTTAGAGCTTCTCTTCCAACTGCACTGTGTTTCCAGGAAATGACAAATGAGGCAGGAAAAGGGGTCAGGGAAACAGGAGAAGGTGTGAAATTGTCATCCGGGAGAGGGGGGAAGTGGATTTGCCGAGGAAGTTGGTAAAATTTCTAGCAGCGAGGAGGCTCCCCTGGCGATTTGAGTCACAGAGTTACGTGGAAAACTTCCGGCGTGGCTCCCTTTCTCCCAACCACTTTCCGCCGCTCAGGTGTTAGGGACATACACATCATTGTCCTCGGGTCACAAAATGGCTGCAGTAGCTCCAGACTTGGCACCTTCATCTCATGAAGTCTAGAGGTGCTTATCAGGTTACATGGCCATCCCGGAGGGAACCCCTGTAGCTCACGGTGTTGGTCTTGAGTCACATGCTCCCCTACCCTCACCCCTAGCCAGAGTCAGGGCCACTGTTCGCCCCTACACTGGGGACAAAGAGCAACCACAGAAGGCTGATGGTGAGGCAGAAGTCAACGCTCGTCTTGCAGCGTCAACACCAGAATGTGGGATCAGAGGGGACCCTGCCTCAATCCTGGGGGTCATGGAACGCAGCGGGGCAGCCGGGGCTCCGGAAAACGCTTGGTCTGGAGGGCGCTCCTCCGTCAAGGCTAAGTACCTGGAACAGAAAGCAGGCACAGACGGGGGAGGGGCAGGTGGACAGCCCCCCAGCCTAAGGCGGTTGGAAGGCTGGCCTGTGGATGCAGAGAAAAGGCATATTTTCCGGATGAGCCTATAAAGGAAGCTGGAGGAAATTTTAGAAACCGCGTGCGTTGTGCCTGGATGTAACACGCAAGCAAATATCCCTTCTCGGAAGCCGGACAGAAGTGGGCAGGCTGGGCGGGAGGGGGCGTAGAGCAGGGCACACGAGCAGGTTCGTGTGGAAAATAACGTGGGTCAGAGCTCGCAGCGAAGGGAGCGGCGACCCCTGAGGGGGCGGGGCGGGGGTCTGAAAAATAAAGGCACGGGGACGGAGAGAGGAAGAGACCGGAAAGAGACCCTGCGAGCGCTCTGGGGTCGGGGGGCCGTTGGTCCACACAGCCTGAGCTGAAAAAGCCCAAGTGTGCAGATTCCGCACACGTTTCTGGACTGGAAGGGTAAGGACGGAATGGACAGAACGCTTGCAGGGGGGCTGAGGCTCCTCCCTCGCGCGTGGCTCGCAGGCAGAAGGTCTGGGGGACCAGAGAGACCGGGGGAGGGGGGGGCTCGGCGTCGCCAAGGGTCTGGCCGCGGCTCGGCCCAGCTGGCTTTCATTTGTCAAGGAACTTGGACAACGTCCGGGATCTGGGAACGTTCGAGGCCGCAGGTGCACGTGCCTTCTGAGAAGGAACCACGCCGCTCTTGTGTCAGCCGAGGGGGCTCGACGGCGAGCGCTCTGACGGCAGGGGACCGGCGAGGGGGAAAGGGCCGTGGGAGCATCGATCACCTGAATAAACGCGGAGATGAAGCAGAGCAAGAAGTCAACGGTCCCCGCGCACCTGCCCGAAACCCGGGCGGCTGCGGGACGAGATGCCGGTGACTCAGTGGGCTCCCGCGACCTCCGCTTTGGTCTAGCGACCCGGGTCGCTAGGCCCGGGGAGCAGTGAGGCCGGGACTCCCGAGCCTTGCTCCTCGTGAGTCTGCGCTGCCCGAAGGCAGTGGGTGCTCACCAAACGGGGAATGAATGAGAGGCGTGAATGAATGATTCCTCGGGGGAATGAATGAGAGTCGTGATTGAATGATTCCTCAGGGCGAATGAATGAGAGGCGTGAATGAATGGTTCCTCCTCAGGGGATGAATGAGATGGGTGAATGAATGCTTGGGGGGATGAATGAGAGGCTTGGGGGGATGAATGAGAGGCGTGAGTGAA